CAAAAGGAGCTCATGGAAGCTGCCAGGTTTCCACCAGGGAGACTCAAGTTTGGCTGCCCAAGGCAGAAAGGAGCTTTGGAAAGTGCTTTGTTTAAAGTTGAAGCGTTCAAAACTGTTTTGCACATTCATCATCCTCAAAGAGAAGTGCTTGGCTGCCCTCCATGGAGGGAGGGGAATGTGCAGCAATGGGACCCTCAGCAGCTGCCAGCAAAAAATAATCCAGAAGAACTATGAATAAATAAAATACATTTTGCTAGACCTAATATTACACAGCTTTCTTCATGCTCTCCCTCTAAAGCTGTAATTCCCTTCCAACCATATCTGGTTTTAGTTTTTATCATTGGTTGCTCTCTTCCTGTCTCTCTTCCTTTAAAGCCTAAACTGTGGTTTTCTCCTTACCTGAAAGTTTCCCCTCTCCATTTCTTAATTTCCTACTAATTTCTCTCTTTTAATCTTCTTTTAAAACCATTCTGATGCAACTCCACAATACTCTGCTGACCTCCAAGACTCTTTTATCTTACTCTTTTCTCTGCAATGTTTCCTTTCATCATCCTCTTCCCAACTTTAACAAAAATTGCCTATGTGTGGCAGAACACAATTCCATTTTAAAGTCAGAAGTGTTTTGCTTTCTCTGAATATGTTTCTATGCCAGTTGTGCTAGTGACAGATGAGAAAACACAGATTATCTACTGCACTGTATCAGAAGTGGAAAAATTAAGTGGTCTGCGGGCTCTGAACTCAGGATCATCATCTTTCAGGCAATGCCTGAATGGAATCCTGAGAGAGACCAAATTCAGCAAGCCCTGTTCTTGCTTGAGATGTCTCCTTTCCTACTTGTCATAGCTGGCTTAGGCAAATTGGGCTGCTCTCCACAGGACACTCACTGGCCCAGATAGTTTCAATCTTGTTCATTGTGGCTTTATCAAAGTTAGATCAGGAAGCATAATTCTCAATGCTAGGATTTTATTTTATTCTTTCCACCTCATGGCAAATTAATTCCTTCCCTGCTGCTATGAAGTGCTGCTATGAATGAACTCCTTAACCATCCTCCTCATCTTTGCTGTCTTATAAATAACAGTATCCTGCTCCATCCAGATCCAGCCCCAGTCGGCTGGTTCTGTCCTTTAATTTATGAGGAAAACTTCTCTGATGTGCAATGGTGGCTCCAGGAGACTGCCAGGTGGCTTTTGGCAGAAGTGCTCGACTGAACAAGGAGGACCAAGCTACAAATCTGAGGTGAGGAGGAGCCTACCTCTAGTGCCTTGGTCCTGCTACTCTCAGTGCAGCCAGTCCTTGCCTTGCACTGAATTACTTCTGAGCCCTAGAAAAAGCTGCAGTTGCAGGTTGCTGCTTGCCAGAGCCTAATGCCAAAGTCCTACCTGTCCAGACATCCCATATAACAAGAAAGTGCTGATGGCAGCATGACAAACCTCTCTTTGGAGCTGATGCTATGTAGTCATGTCTGCAGCTGAAGCCCCAGCACAGCCTCACCAGCGGGTTGGTTCTTGTGAATGCTATTTTAAGGCAGTGGGGGTGCAATGGTGTTGCCACAGCATGAGAAATGAAATTTAAAATAGTGAATATTTACAGAGCAAGGTTATTCTGTCTGTGAGATGTGATCTTTTTCTCTGAGTACATGTAGTGCATCATTTCATTTCTTTCTGCCACCTGTAAGCTGAGGCAAGAAAAGTGTGCTATGGCATAGGGTTCTGCATATGGAGTCACGGGCGTTTCCTGCAGAACTCTCACATGCTGCTAATCACTTCTGGGACGTAAGGGTTTGGGGTTTTTTGTGGAGTAGTATCAGAGGAAGAGTCTCAGTTTAAGAGCCATGGCTGCTACTTATCCACAGATGTTTCCGCGTGCTTATCAAGATCGACAAACAGTCAGTCTCCCCCCCAGTGATACGCCCTCGCCGGCAGCGATTGCTCTGGGTCTGGAAGTTGTCAAATCTCTGTTTATCTGCTGATGGCTGAACTACTCTTGTGCCAAGTGCGCCTCTTTCAGGAAATATCCAGCAGAGTACTCACGCTGGCCAGAGACCTAATTGCGCTAAACCTTCATCTTTTAATGTTGCAATACTGTAGCAGCTGCAGATTGTTTTAATTAAAAAAAATTTAAAGAAACACCCCCCAAAAAAACAAACCTAAAAAAAAAAAAAAAAAAAAAAAAAAGAACCACCACCACAACAACTCCTAACCTGTTTATCACCACATAAAGATACCTGTTTTCTCCAGATAATGTCCCGGCAGTCTCGGCCACGCCCCCCTGTGACTATGTGACTATGAAGAGGTGTTTCAGTCACTAACCTGTCCTCAACGTCTCTCCTGGCTTCTTCCCTCTGTGCACCATGTGATAGCCTGGGATGTGACTGGGACGTTCCCTCCAGAAGCTGATAGTAATCATGGTCTTTGCCTCCTCATCCTCTCCCTCCTCTGTGAGTCATCAGGAATCACTCCCAGTCTTTTGTCTCTTTACTTGGGTGTCATTTGGCTGTGCTCATGTTCCTTGTCTTTCTGCTCTCGGCCCTTGATGGCCTAGGTCTTAGTTTGTCCCTTGTTCGAACTTGTCCTTTGCTTGAGGAGCTGTGTGCAGGGGAAGGGGGAGGGGGGGGCCTGTGATGGTGACAACCCGCTAAACTGAAGATTTTCTCTGTCCTTAGAACCAAAATGCAGCAAAACCAAATTCCTGTTCACCCCATTGCCATACTTTGCTTTGTCCCATTTCTCATCTTCCCTCCATCTGGGAGTTCCCAGCCCACAGCAGATGGTCGTAGCCTGAAATGGGTGGTTTTCTCCAAAACTGAAGCAAAGCCCACCTGCATTGGAGGACGACCATCATAACAGAAATGTCACCAAAGTAGAAAAATTTGGATGAAAGGGGGAAAAAAAATACCAGCATTGTATCCCACACATGAAAGTGCAGAGTAAGCAGTTGCTGCCCTATAAAGCTTGTTTAAACGCCCGCAGTTTTGAGGGAGTTTGGTACCAGCTTTGGCTTGCAAAGTAGAATTGCTGGCCAATGCACATTCATCACTCTAATTTTATACAGCTGCATTATTTTCACAGTTTATGGTGGCACCATCTCATTTATGAAGTACACAATGCAGTTACACATATGGCTGTATTATTTTAGGCACTGAAAGTTCAATTAGTAGTTTCACTGAGCTAAGACTGTCAAAACAGCAGCAGGAGTACACACCGTATTGTAGCTGCCCAAAATTTATATATGTTTATGCAATAAATACACTGCAGTTTGTGTGCTACAATTTGGGTCGCTGGTTCTAAAATAATACCAGAAACACCAGGTGAAATTCACTGTCACTGACTCAGTTTCAACAGCTGTGGCTCCAGCTCTTCATTTACACTTGGGATAATTATGGCATTATCATGGGTCACAGAAACTCTGCTTCTTCCCTGCCCAGAGGTGTCGTGAGACAAAACACTGATGTGAACCACCGGCTCTCTTATTCACAGACCAAGCCTTTAAATACAAATTCATGTTCACCCCATTGCCCAAGCAGGAGGGTGCCAGAAGCTGGCCTTTGGAGATATCTCTGTCCATAATACTTTATTTGAGTCACTTGCCAGCACCATAAGTGATCTTCCCCATTAAGAAACAGTTTCCTAGGGAAAAATGGGCAGGATGGGGAGAAGGAGAAAAATTACACAAATTTCCTGGGTGATTGTGCTTGCTGAAAAATGTGCCAGTTTGCATGTCGCTGATTTACTCTTGGTGCATTAGTCATTAGGGAGGGTAAAACCACAGTGATAACAGAAGGTGCTATCGGGTGCTGCAAACAGACTGCAAACTCTGCTTTAGTCGACATCAGTGCTGACTTTCCCCAGCATTTGCATGCTAGCAAATTTAGCAAAGAGGTAGCTGTTGTTCAAAGTTATGAGAAAGAGCTTGGTTCCTCCCAAGCACTCGTAGTGCTTCTGAAATGCTGACCTTCATGCAGGTGCTGAGCAGTAGGAAACTCTGAAAATCAACTTTTCAATGCTCCAGTTTCACAATATGCAAACCAGAGAGAATAAAAACTACCTTCAGGTGCATTCAAAAACTTGTTTATAGTCTTCCAAGCTTTCTTTAACCCCTGCCTGGAAGGTACCGCTGGGACATGAAGTGCGGTGAAGTTCCCTTCAGCTCCTATGGCTGGTTCTGGTACAATGAGAAGAGGAAATGGCCTCAAGGCACCAAATCCAAATGAACAGATGTTTATAGCAATCCTGTCTTCCTCCTTGCTCCACAAAATAATGGATCTATCCTTATCACCATCCCTTACATATGGCCAAATATAAATATAAATAGGAAAATACTTACAGCAGGAAATGAAGACTTGTTGTGGGACTCGTCAGCCTCTGAGCACGTTTTTTCACATCCTGACAGCGCCTGGCATTAATTCAGCTTCTGACACACAAGGGAAAGTATACCTTTTTTGCTCTACTTTTTTGGCAGTTGTCATTAATTTGGCTCGCTTTCCCCTGCAGTAATGTTGACAAACACATTGCTCATGGTAGCATTTCAGCAAGCCCATTCAGGCAATTTATGTTTCAATATTTACAGACAGCACTGCCTCATGCCAATTTGATCTTTTTGTAATGAATATGTTTTGACTTGAGACAGAGTGGGAACTTGCCTGTCACAGCCACTGCGCCTGAAAGTTTATACCCCCAGTTTCACACTATAAAGAAATGTATTAACCTCCATATTATGTGGTTTTCTAGGTTTAAATTGGTGTGTTTCCTTCCTGTTCTGCTCATTGACTCATTTCCTTAAATTTGACTTGAGCTTGCTATTGAGTTTTAGCCTCAGTACACCAGTAGTGGCTGTAACACCCCCAATTCAGCAGGAAGAGAGGTGACAGCAAAAGACAAAACATTTTCATTACTTTCATGAGATAGTACAAATTATTATTTTCTGTTAGGAGACAAGGAGAAACAACAGTGGACATGACAACCAAGAAGCAACTGAAGTATTTCTTTCAGAGGGAACCTTACCTGTCACTCCAGTGTCCAAGCATGTCTTGTAAACCCCGCAGAAATGCTGACCTGGATTCACAGAGTTGTCATCCATTCTCTTTTGTAGTTGAACGTGTTTGAATGTCCCTTACAAAAGAAGAAGAGAAGCCAGAAGTGCTTTTTTCAGGAGCTGAGGAAATCAAAGAACAACTGCTTTTCTCCTCTACCTTAACAAACATTTACCGTTTCTGGTATTCATTCTGTCTGTATCACAATGAATATTTTCCATAATATAAGTTCCTCTACTTTTTTTTTTTTTTTAAGTGGATTAAACATTTATTATTTTAATCCATCAGAGCACAGAGCTTTTCCATGCTCAGGCAGATACTAGCTCTGAGAGAAGCCTTTGAGTGTAAATACCAAGGATACAGCAAATGTTCTTGATTCAAAATTGCTTTAAAGCCAGCAGCTGTCTGCTCCTTTATATCTAGTCCATGATTAAAGAAATGTTTTATTGAATGCTTGCCCCTGGCTCTCTTTCAGCAAGGTGAGAGACCTATTCCCTGTTCGTGAGATGAAGCACATTGTTGTAGGAGTGTCTGGCTATTCGGTGTCAGCTGGGCTGTGCCCAAGCCACCAATGGCTCAAGCACAATTTCCTGCCTGCAAGTGCCCCCATTTAGACATCTAACTACATCTGCAAGGAAGTGCTGTGGCTCTAGTTTTTTGCCAGCACTTCAGCATAGATTTAATAATGAACTGCAGGCACCCTACTTGATACTCACATTTAATTGCACCTGAACTGTCAAAATGCAGCCTTTGATCAGGGGCAAGTTTCAAGCTTTTGCTTGCAGTTAAGGAGGAACTTACAGGAAGCATCAGGTTGCATTTGCAAAGAGCCCAGATGCTTCAATTCATGGAGAATTTGTGGGTAAAGACACTATGAGAATGAACTGAGACCTTGCCGTTGGGACAAAGCTTTAGGGGTCCAGAATTCACACATAGTCAGGCCTTGATATTCTTTGGTCTTGGGCAATTCTTTTAGCCTCTTTTGCACCCCTAAAAGGAGAACAGTGATAACACCTCACTTCCCTCACAGGCCTTAGTGTGAGCTCATTACTTAGTGTCCTTAAGATACTGTGTAGATAAAAAATGCAAATGACAGCAAAGGCCAAATCCTTGTCTCATCTATCCCAGCTGATATTAAAGTGAATTGAGGTGGAGCCAGGGAAACTCGGAGGAAGACTTGGCTGTAGGCATGAGGCACCATGACTGATCTGTCTCTGCAGAGCTCACTGAGGAAGCTTCTTAAGGAAGCTTTTCCAACCAGCTCTCCGGCCTCAGCTGGCACAGAAGCCCCATGCTTATTTTATTTTGTTGCTGCTTCTTTTTTAAATTGGCTGCCAAGGACTCAGTACTCCTGTTTATGAAGCCAATGGGCTTTGGCTTGTGTGGATCTGCAGGCAGAGCAATCTCCTCAGGTTCTGCAGTGCAGGAGGCATCACTTTGGGGCAGGCAAAGGTGACTGGGAGCCACCTACATCCAGCTCAAACTCCATGGGTGAACCAGCACTAGTGTGCAGAAACAAGCCCCAGAGAAGCCCTGTGAGGCTGGGGTCACCTGGACTGGCTGCTATAGTCATCAGGTAACAGTCCACCCTATAAAAAGAGCAGCAGAAAGGCAGGTGTGATGGCCAGGGTCATCCCTTCAAGTGAAACAAAAATGGGAGGCTCTCCATCAGCTGAGTGAGGAGGCTTGACTTTTGAGGCTGCCCTCTCTCTGTTTTGGGGACAGTGGCACTGGGTCAGGCAGGGTGAGGGGTGAAATTCCTCTGCCCCAGGCAGCTGGAGCACTCTGCAAGACCCCTCAGCAGCACACATCCAGGCCCCACCTCTCCTTCTGGGGTATTTTGATTGTAGTAAAAGGCTCAAGAGACAGAGAGAGGAAAAGCTTGTTCTATACTAAATTGACATTTGAATTGTGAAATGCTTCTAATAAATTGCATCTTAAGGAGGGATTTAATCTGATCAGCATTTGGATGAGTCTGATACTGAATGACATGGTATTCTATAATACACTACATCTGAGATTATTATTATTACTGTTACTACTATTATTATTATTATTATCATTATTATAATAATTATTATTATAATCTCATGGTCTTGGGAATCCAATCAAGAAAATACACATGGTGGTTTTATCTAGCCTAGACTATACTAAAAGAAGATAGAACTTACTGTCCCTTCTGCCTGTTTAGTGAGAAAGGAATGTCCTCTACATGTTCATTTGGGAAAAAGGAAAAAAAAAAACATAAAACAAAAAACCAAAAAACATGTTCATGATACTGGCTCACTCATCCATGCACTTGTTCTCAGGAAATTAAACACCATATTCCTGATTTTTTTCTTTACATGAACATAAGATGAGCCTGTAAATGTAAGCTGTCTCCACATTTCTTAGTGAGCATATTGCAGCTCCTACAATTATCTAAATAAAATGCACCTTACTGTAAGCTAAATTGCCTCTTACACCATTAACTCAGATTTTATCTGGCTGTTGTTAGGGACAACCACATGTCACTTATGGAAAGCCAGGGGTTTTTGAGATGTAAGCACAGGGGATTCATTAGTTCCCCAGCATCTGATCTGACCCATCTTTAAATAACAGGCTGGCTTTTCAGAGGGACGATCCTTACCACTTCCTTAAATTGCTCAAGCCTCCTTTAAGTGTCTTAGACTGAGCCCATTAATGCAGAACTACCCCTGGCTGTGTGCAATCATGGTATTTGTGTCCAGCTAAAGGATTAATTTTTTTCAAATATCAGACCACCAGCACTTGTATAACCACAAGAACAATCCAGAAAAGAAAAAAAGGTTTGACTAAACAGCATGAAAGAGACACCAGAGGGACAAATTTGGTTCAGCATACACATATTATACAAACAATAAATGCATACACAAATATACATTAAAGCAAAAATGCAAAAATACCCCTAATGCTCATCGTTCTTTCCTCCAACCCAAGAAACACTATAAAGGGAAATATTTTTGAATTTTCCTTTTTGTCTTAGGTCCTGAAAGCAAAACTGGTAACTGGTAGAAAAGAAAAAGAAAGCCAAATTTCACTGAATAACCCCCAAATTAGTTAGAAGCAACCATGCAAAAAGATTGGCAAATACAAACATGTTGAATTCAACTCTTTCATGTTTTCTTCAGTTGCAGTAAGTCATGGCTATCCTATAAACACTGGAAAAGTCTTTTTTTAAAAAATCTTTTCAGCCAGAGGTGCCTGCTCAGAGCTAATGTGTATTGTGCTGTTTAGATCACGGCTGCACCAGGCTGTTTCCTGAGAGACTGGCTTTGCATTGCCTCCAGCACCCAGCAGGACAGGATATAGCATATTACTGTCAGGATGCACCGGGACAAGTGCAACCAGTCCAAGCAGTTCTCTGGGCCAGCTCAAGCAGAAAACAAAAGCTAGTGTAAAGTGGCTTTAAAGTAGCTGTTCCCAGAATTCCATTAATCATCAGTCTGCAGAGTCTTCCTCAATCCCATAAACAAGCAGGTCATCCACCTCTGATTGGTAACAGGGTTGCCTTGTTCCAATGACCTGGGAAGGAGGAGAGAGAGCTGGAGAGCAGAGTTTTGAAAAGTATAAGGGTTTATGTACAGCAAAAGTGCCCTTCAGACTTTATGAAAATCTGTTACGCACAGGGGCATCATACGTGCTATGCCACTGTAGGTCTAAGTCCTAAATTTGTATTTTATACACAGAAGAAACTAATGTGGACTGAAGATATGGACTGCAGAGGCACGTATTAAAGTGCTTTTGCATCCGTACAATTTTTCACACTCCTTTCTGTATAGCTTTTGCACTCATCTGTCCCCTGAAAAAACCCTCCTTCTAAAGCACCCATAACTCAGCAGTTTTGAAGAGGCACATTCAGCCAAGCAGAGAAATGAAAAGGTGGGAATCGAGATCTAAACCTGAAACTCAATGAGCTCAGACTGTAGCAGAGCTTTGATCCAGAAACACCTCTGGTAAATAATTCTTTTGATTCCCATATTGTTTGGGGTGCCAAGAGGGTGCACTCTTTTCTGTCAGGAAACAAAATCCATGGAACCCTCTTTTGGGGAAGGATTTTTCCTATGCTGCATAATGATAAATATCCAGTCCTTCTCTTGTACAGCTGCCAAACCTCTTTTGTCACCTAGGCTTTCTGAAATAGAAATCTTAGTTTAGGATGACATTGGGGCTGCTTCTTTAAAAAGGCCAAATCAAGGAACCAACTTCTTTCTCATGCAGGTGAGGCAAGTTTTCTGATACTTGGGTATTAATTCAGCTCACAGCTAACAAAGGGCATGTTCCTAAACAAAATTCAATTCTTCAAAGCATGGTTAAATAATGCAGCATGTTCCTTGGGGGTCCTAGATACTTCTAGAAGTCCTTCACAGCCTGGAATTAGTCTGGGGAACATTAGACTTTAAATGGAAAGGCAAATTTAGTCCAACATCCTAAATATGGTCCTAAACTGTGGCTTTAGTTGGCATGAAACACATTATTACAGAGGACAGCAGTGACAAATGAAACAGCCATTTCCTCCCCCACCCAAGGCAGAAATCAAGTGTAAACTGAACCCTGCCAATCATAGCACACTATTAACAGTGGCAATTACAGATAATCACCACAATTACTAATAAAACATTATCAAGGGTAATGGAATGGGTAATTGCTACCTTTCATTTAAGAAGGTCCAAGACCATGGCAAGACACTCTCAAGAAGGATGATTCCCAGCTCCCTTCCTATTTGATGGCACCCGTTAGGAGACCCCACAGCTACAGTTCAGGAAGAGAAAAAGCAAAGGGGTGTCAATCCTCTTCCCTGGAAGCAGCTTCCAGGGCAAGACTGGGAGCACAGCTGCAGTAAAAAGCACCAGCAAAATAACTACTTCTTAAGCACTGTGATACCTCAGTGTGACTGAGATGCCCATGGACACCCTAAAATATTTCCAGCTTGATGCTTCCCAGAGCCACAGTTGAGGATCATGCTTGCAGGCTCTCACTCAGGAGAAGCTCATGGCAAACTCTGTGGCTTGGCTTGACCCTTAGCACTGATCTTTGGCGTCCATCAAGCAGGAGAACAAA